AAAAAAAAAAAAAAAAAAAAGAAAAAGGAAAAGTGGAGGTGGAATAGACCCTCAGGGACAGGCTGCCGAGAGAGAAAAGGCCAGGAGGAAGGACCGCATATCTGTGGCAGTTCAGAGAGCAATGGGCAGTTGTGGGCAGCTGGATGACCAGTGCCATCCGACAGGGCAGTAGCTGGCTTGTCACTGAGATTGACCCATCCTTTCTTGGTCCAACCACCCTTGTGAGATCATGTTGGGGAGAGGGGAGTGCTGAGGAAGTGAGTGGAGAGGCAGGCTGGTTTCCACATAGTCTGTGGGTGTCTGAGCAGAGCAGGTGACAGGTGATCCCTGCAGCTCTGGGCAGAAGGTGAGAGGGATGGAGGTTGCAGAGCCAGCTTCTCAAGGCCACACTCTACCCCTCAGTGTACTCCGCCTCTAACCTGCTTGTGCTGCTCAATGACGGGATCCTACGGAAGGAGCTTCGGAAAAAGTTGCCTGTGGTGAGAATTCTGCCAGGAACAGGGTGGGAAGCATGGGGACTCAGGAATGAAATAGTAGCAGCTAGCCCATGCATGCAGCACATGTCTCATGGAGTATGAGACAGGCCTATGTCCATCTGAGCCTCAACCATCTCATTAGGTGAGCTGTAAAGTGTGAGTATTCCATCTCAGATGAAGAGACTGTCTTAGATGAAGAGACTGTCTCAGATGAAGAGAGGTAGAGTCAGCTGTTTCAGGTCCCCCAGCCTGTTAGTGGTGGAGTTGGTGTTTGAACTCACACCTGCACAGTTCGTCTTGGAAAGGGGCAGGTCCACATCTCTTGTCAGAGAAGCTCCCTCCTAGGAGAAGGGCCTGGGACTACAGGCAGCCCCCTGACTTCTTGGCCTGGGGTTCTTGCAGTCGCTGTCCCAGCAGAAGCTGCTGACATGGCTGAGCGTGCTGGAGTGCGTGGAGGTGTTCATGGAGATGGGAGCTGCCAAGGTGTGGGGAGAAGTGGGCCGCTGGCTTGTCATCGCCCTCATCCAACTGGCCAAGTAGGTTGGGATTGTGGAGGGGGTCCTGGGTTGGGGTGACGCAGGCCAACTACCCAGATGGTGCTCTGACCCCGTGCCGGCTAGCCACCTCCCCACAGCCCTGACATACTCCCCGACCCAGGGCTGTACTGCGGATGCTCCTGCTGCTCTGGTTCAAGGCTGGCCTCCAGACCTCACCCCCCATCGTTCCACTGGACAGAGAGACCCAGGCACAGCCCCCGGGTGAGCTACTTCCCCAAGCCCTAGAGTGGAATGGGCTGTGGGACTAACTTGAGGATTTAGATCTAACCAGCATGAATACAGTAGTATCTGTTTTTGGAGCACACCTGACCCCACCACCTCTGTTCTCATTGCCCTGTATTCGATGAAGAAGACAGTGATGCAGCTAGGGACAAAATCAGAACACAAACCCAGTACTTGTCATGGCCAGAGTCATTCATTTTTGTGGCCTGCAGGAAGAGGGAATAGATGGGATGCTACCAACCTTGCCTCTGGGCCTGGTTCTGTGTCCAGAGTCACAGCCTGTAGAGGCAGAAGGCAGGGCACCCACCACATCTGTCCCTTCAGGGCTTTGAGCCCATCCTGTCAGCTTCTGGGCCTCACTCTCTGGACATTGAGTAGGGGCAGTTCATTGCCTCTCATCATGATTGTTTTGAAGGCAAAGGATTGAGAGGAGACAGCCCCTCTGGTGCTGTGGTCCCCATAGATATGGTCAGGCTGGGCCCTCCCTGCCTTGCTTGTCCATGGGTTCCAGGAGGCTGGTTCTGGCCACAGCTATGCTGAGCTTTCCCCAGGCCAGGGAGGGCTGCAGAGTGCTTTCCTCTGTGGACAGGTCTCGTGCTGAGCCACCACCCCAGTTGTAGTTCCCTTGACTCAGCTGTTGCCATAGTAGAAGCTCATCCGTTCTCCCCTTAGTCCCTGAGCATTCACTGCATGCATGTTCTTTGCAGGCTCCGCTGGAAGCATGTCCCTCTGACTGTATGGCCTTCTGTCTATCCCTGCTAGATGGTGACCACAGCCATGGCAGCCATGAGCAGTCCTACGTGGGGAAGCGGTCAAACCGGGTGGTGCGAACCCTCCAGAACAGTAAGTGGAGGATGTGGCTGGCCTGGGCACCGAGGTGCTGTGTCTGCCTGGGCCTGAGGGACTGGCTTTGGTCAGCAGCCACCTTCCCCTGCCCCAGCCTGGGCCTGGCTCGCTCATCTGCTGCCCTTGTGTTCTAGCGCCGTCCCTGCACTCCAGGCACTGGGGAGCTCCCCAGCAGCAGGAGGGATGGCAGCAGCAGCACCACGAGGAGCTGAGTGCGACCCCCACCCCCCTGGGGCTGCAGGAGACCATCGCAGAGTTTTTGTACATTGCCCGGCCACTGCTGCACTGTATCCTTAGCGCGGGGCAGGATAGGGCTGGCACTGTGGGCTGGGGATTGAGTGGGGGGTGTGCCGAGCAAGGTCCCTGTGCTGGAGACATCCTTGACGCCTTGGCCGTCAGTGCTCAGCCTGGGGCTGTGGGGTCAGAGGTCGTGGAAACCCTGGCTCTTGGCTGGTGTTGTGGATGTGACCAGGTGAGCCTGGGCCCTCCCGGGGCTCCACTCTCCTCTGGGCTTTCTGCTACAATCCTGGCCTCACGTAGGCAGGGCAGTAGCAGCCCCTGCTCCTCCTGTTGCTGCCCCTCTGGACACCCAGCCCATGGCTCCTCCCCTTCCGTGGGCCTAGATCATGCCCCTGGCCCTGACCATGTCCTACCTGCCTCCCAGCCTGAGCCTCCTGAGTGACAGAAGGGGCCTGACCCGGAGAGAACGGCGGGAGCTGCGGCGCCGGACCATCCTGCTGCTGTACTACCTGCTCCGCTCTCCGTTCTACGACCGCTTCTCTGAGTGAGCACCCAGGCCACCCTCAGCCAGGGAGAGGGCTGGCAGGCGGGCACTGGTGCTCCGGTCCCTGCTGGTGCCTTCCCTCCCCTACGCCTCATCCCGGCTTCACCGAGCACCCACTGTGTGTTGTCTGGGTGGCAGTCAACTGATGCCAGCCATTCCGCCCGCAGAGCTCTCCGGGCCATCAGGCCACTTGAATAGGAACTTAAACATTGGTTGGCAGGAGAGGCACTGAGGGCAGGGCTGAGGGCATTGCCAGGTGGCCCACAGGGATGGCAACAGGGTGAGCGCCCATGGCCTCTAGCTCATTTCCACTTCTTCCTGCCAAATAGTTTGGCTTATCCTCACTTCTCAGAGGAGGACCTGGAGGTTCAAGGAGGTTGGGCAACTTAAAGACACTCAGCTGGCCAGTGGTAGAGCTAGATCCCAAACCCATGGTCTCCCCTGGCCTTCCCTGCCTGGCCCGGCCCCCACTCAGTCACCTGTGAGGTTCCAGAGCTCCCAGCCTCAGAGAGGCCTGCTGGGTAGAGCAGGGGGCAGCTTGGGACCAGTGCCACTGTGACTGCATGAGGTTAGGCCACAGTCTGATGGGGGAACCCTGTGCAGTGGCTGGGACTGTGAGACAGACAAGGCTCCCGGGACCCCCTTTGTCTAGGACCTAATAACTGCATAAAAACTGGCATAGGCTGGGCAGCAGTGGCTCACACCTCTAATCCTAGCACTTTGGGAGGCCAAGGCAGGAGGTTTGCTTGAGGCCAGGAGTTTGAGACTAGCCTGGACAACCCATCTCTACAAAAAAAAAAAAGAAATTAAATTAGCCAGACATGGTGGTGTGTGCCTGTAAGTCCCAGCTATTCAGGAAGCTGAGGCATGAGGATCAGGCCAGGAGGTTGAGGCTGCAGTGAGTTATGATCACTCCATCGCACTCTAGCCTGGGTGACAGAGTAAGTCCCTGTCTCAAAAAAAACAGAAAACAACAACAACAAAACTGGCATAGTTTAGCCAGGCATGATGCCTCACGCCTGTAATCCCAACACTTTGGGAGGCCGAGGCAGGCGGATCATGAGGTCGGGAGATAGAGACCATCCTGGCTAATATGGTGAAACCCCATCTTTACTAAAAATACAAAAATTAGCCAGGCGTGGTGGCAGGTGCCTGTAGTCCCAGTTACTCAGGAGGCTGAGGCAGGAGAATCGCTCGAACCCAGGAGGCGGAGGTTGCAGTGAGCCGAGATCGTGTGAGTGCACTCCAGTCTGGGTGACAGAGCAAGACACTGTCTCTTTTTTTAAAACAAAAAAAAACCTTAAGGCTGCTCCTTCTGGACTGCACCCTGGCATCTCTCTGGACCCTGCTCCCTGTCCTTTGGGGAAACAAAGGCCCGCCTTGGCCTCCTAAAGTGCTGGGATTATAGCCACTGCGCCCAGCCGGCCTTCCTCTTTTCTTTTGTTTTTTGGGATGGAGTTTCACTCTTGTTGCCCAGGCTGGCAGCGTGATCTCGGCTCACTGCAACCTCCGCCTCCCGGGTTCAAGCAATTCTCCTGCCTCAGCTTCCTGAGTAGCTGGGATTACAGGCACGTGCCACCATGCCTGGCTAATTTTGTATTTTTTAGTAGAGATGGGGTTTCTCCATGTTGGTCAGGCTGATCTCAAACTCCCGACCACAGGTGGTCCGCCCGCCTCGGCCTCCCAAAGTGCTGGGATTACAGGCGTGAGCCACTGCACCCGGCCAGCCTTCCTCTTTTCTTGCTGCTCAGACAGACACATAAGGAGCCAGGCTGCCTTCCAGATGTGTGGCCTTGGGCAAGTTATTTGATGCCCTGTGCCGCATTTCCTCACCTGTAAGGTGGGCATGATGACAGCACCCACTTTCGGGGGTTCAGTGACTAACGCATACGGCAGTGCATGGGGCATAGTAAGCACCTAGCACTATGTATTGTCATCAGCATCCTCATCTCACCCGAGTTCCCCTGTGGAAAACCCTCATCTCTTAAAAATCAGGGCCTTGGCCCTTGCCCTTCCCCTGAACCAAAATGTGCCCTCCTCAGTACTGTGTCCCCTCCCGGGGTCCTGACTGCTCTTGTTGGTGGCTTATGAGGTTTCCATGCAGGCCAGCGCTTCTGCCAGATTGGGGGCTTCCCGAGGGCAGGGTGGGGTTGTCTTCCCTGAACCCGCCTCCATACTGCCCGGGCGCTGCTCCACACATGACCCTCCAGAGGCCTTTGGTGTTGGATGTCGGTGGAAGTTGAAGGAGGAATGGGAGGAGGTGTTGTGGGCCAGCGGCCACCCCGAAGCTGAGCTGGTGGAGGGCGCGGAGGCCAAAGCCAACCCCAGAGGTCTCGCCCGTGTGTACCGGGCTCTGTCCTAGCTCCCAAAAAAGTCACCTTTGTTTTTGGGAGTGCGCTGCATTCAAAAGCGAAGGCCTCTGGGCCTCCTGGTTTGCAGGGCTCCCCCCTCCAACTCAACTTGCTCCCCATTTATTGCTTCCGCCAGGGCCAGGATCCTCTTCCTGCTCCAGTTGCTGGCCGACCACATCCCTGGCATTGGCCTGGTCACAAGTAAGCTGGGGCGGGGACTTGATGACTGTAGTGCTGGGAGGCGCATGCGTGCCCCATCCTCCTGACTCGTGTGTCTCCTTGTAATTCGATTCTTGGCACAGTCAGGAGAGGAAGTCGGGAAGTCAGGATTGGGTGGGACTACCCTGGCCAAAGCCAGGGTGGCCTGAGGAGCCAGGGGTGGCTGGAAGGAGGGTGTCCAGTGGTGGGGCGACTGTTAGACCACATCAGCTGCCAGCCTTTTTCTGGTCACAGTATCCTGGAGCAATACGGGACCATCTCATTGTGGGGGGATTCAGTGGTGGAGAAGCAGTCCACCGGGCTGCTGAGATCCTCCCTCAGCAGAGGCCCACTGGGCTTGCACTGGGTGACTGGACCTGACTCAGGCCCCTCAGTGCCTACCCTGGCTGAGCTTCCCTGGGCCTGAGGGTCCTCGTCTGTAAATGGTGCCAGAGTCCCCTGCAATGCCGCCTCCCTAGGGGCAGGGCAAGAGAGCCAGCCGGGCTCCTGGGCCGCAGGGGTGAGGTGCTGTATGTGGCGCCACAGCGCAGATTGGGGTCTGGCCCGCCCTGACGTGTCCCTCTCCCACTGCAGGGCCGCTCATGGATTACTTGCCCACCTGGCAGAAAATCTACTTCTACAGTTGGGGCTGACAGACCTCCCGAAAGGAGGGTGTGGGGAGGGGAGGGGCAGGGGGCCCCCTTCCCTAATAAAACTGACTCCAGCAGCGTCCCAGCGTGCGGCCTTTCCGTGCCTGCCGGCCAGGCCCTGCACACAGCCCTGGTCACCACCAGCGTTCTTCCCGGGACCCCCTTGACTGCGCCCTCCTGTGACGATGCCACTGCAACCCGCACCTTTTCACTGCTGGGCCAAGAAGCCTTCACTAGGAGTGGAATCCAGCCTCCTCTCCCACCGAAAGCGGTAACTTCACCTCATGGAGCCCGGGAAGCCGCTTGCCTCGGCAGCCACAGGAGCGAACACTGCTGCTCTCTCGCTGGCCCCTGGTGAGGGCAGGAAGGCTGAACCTGGGTGATGACCGAACGCTGCCCGGCGTGTCTTGTGGCCGGGGCCCTCTGCCTGCCCCTGCTCTGCAGGGCCGTGTGGCTCTGGCAGCCCAAGGCCATGGTGTTGTCAGCCTCCCTATGACAGAGCCTGGTGAACAGTGAGCCTGGCTCCCATGCAAGTGGCACTTCAAGCCCTGCCTCCTTGGTTGAGAGTAAAAGGCTTTTCTTCCTTAGAAAAAGGGCATCCGGCACCGGCCAGCACTGGGGAGGGAGTGGGAGCTGGACGGGCTTGGGGAGGAAGCCAGGGCCAGTTCAGGGGGTATGAGCGGGGGTTCCCCACACTCGCCCTACAGGCTCCAGAGGTCGGGTCCACTTGGAGCCATGTAAGTTGCTATGGGGGGAGGGCCTGGACAGGGTGGGCTGCAGGCTGCTCTTCTCCCTGACCTTAGCTTGTCCTCAGCCACTGGCCCTGTGAAGAGCCAGCCTCTCCTGCTAGAGTTTCAAACCCACAGAGAGGGCTCCATCTGCACCTGGGTCCTCCATGCCTCAGCTCCTCCCAGACACGCTGCTTTCCTCAGGGCCCTCTGAGGAGCGCCCGCCAGGCCCTCACCCACAGGCAGGAGAAGGGGCTGCCTGGGCTCCCATGGTCTCCAGCTTAGCGGAACAGGCGTTTCTGGGCACATGCCCAGCCATCAGAAACCAGCAGTGAAGCACGGACCCCTGTCCTCCGCCTCTCACCAACAGAGGAGACAGGCACGTGGATGCAGGTGCCACACTGGGGGTTTGGGAGGAGGTGGCATGTCCAGAGTGGGGTCTAGCTTGGGGGTGGCCCGGTAGTGGTGACTGCCTGCCTGCAGTGGTGACAGAGGTGAAGGGTTTCATCAGGCTTCATCGGCGAAGCCTTGACTCAGGCAGGCTTGAAGCCGGTAGAACTGTCCAGTTTTTTGATAGGCAGCCTGCAAGGGGCGGCTGTGTGCCCGGGGTCACCGCTGTGTGTAGCCTTGGGAGGTGGGAGCTGAAGGCTGGAGGGGAAGGTCAGGGCCAAACTGAACACAGCATCACATACCCAGGGAAGAAACTTGGACCTGGTCTGTGGTAGGCAGGGAGGGGCCTGTGTTGTAAAAATTCCAGCAGCCTGGTGGAGGATGCTTTGGCGGGCAAGGTGGAAGAATGGGGGCCGTGACATTGGAGGCAGTGGTCTGTAGCAGTGGGAGGGGCAATGGCAGTGGCAGCAGAGAGAGGGAGATTAGGGTAACCCCAGCTAGTGTTGGGGACTGGCATGGAGGAGGAAGATGGTGTCTAGGAGACGAGGAGCAGAAAGGACGAGGGACTTTGGGGTTAGGCAGAGTGGACAGAATTCCAGGTTCCTGGCAGAGCGAGCCTTGGTGTGCACAGGATGCTGAGGCAGGCTCGTGGAGACGTGTTGTCTCCAGGACTTACAAAGGGAGGTGGCCACTGGGAACTGAGTGCAGGGACAACATGCAGGGGGTGACTGGGCTGAAGGAACCCCAAGAACTTGTCAGCCTTGGGTTCTCAGGACCAGGAGCATGAATGAGGCCACTGGAGGAGCCAGGGTTGGAAGCAAGGGACTTCTCTCCCTGGGGCCCTCGGCCGTCAGAGGAGAGCGGCTAGGCCAGCCAGCAGGTTGGCCGTCTCAAGCAACTGGATTACCAAAGCTCCAGAGCCCTGGGCTCACCCCTCAGGTTCTGATACTACAGATCTGGGTGGGGCCAGGAACTTTGTTTTGAAGGCTTGCTGTGGTTCTGGTGAGCCAGGTTCGCACTGCAGGTATAAGTGGACTGAGCCTGGCTGCTGAGTGGAGAACCAGGAGCCAGCCAGAGGCCTTCTGGTGGCACCTGCAGCTGAGCCCAGGCCTGCGAGGGGAGGATGTCCAGTGCAGGGCCGAGCTGTATGTGCTCACTGGGCGCCTACCAGGGGTCCAGGGCTGCAGATTCCAGTGAACAAAGCTCTCCCTGCCCTCCTGAAGCCTGCATTTGAGGGGCAGGTCCAGAGCTCTGCCACCACGTCTGGAAACCATCCATCTAGCCTCAGGCCACTCTAAGCTGCAGGCAGCCGAGAGAGAGAGGTCCTGAGCCGGGGACATGGGGAGCCTGGACACTCCCTCTCACGTAGACCCTGAGACGGGCAGAACTGAAAGACCCACTCTGGGCTCCTCAGCTGGCAGGACCTGCCCGTACCTCCTGCTATGCTAGCGGGAGTTGGGGAGGCTGTTTGAATGGCTGGGGCTCTGGGTGGTGAGGAGCCCCTGCCCTCTTCGGAGGGCCTGTGTCTGTAGGGTGTGTTATGGACTCCATCACAGATGACGAAACTCCGGCACACAGAGATGAAGTGACTTGTCCGGCTACCAAGAGGCAAGGTCAGGACCTCAGCTGAGATCTGACTGTACAGTGTGTGCCCTGATTCCCTGGGCAGCGACACTAGAACAAGATCAGGTTTGGCACCTATTAGCCAACAGCATAAATAAGAACAAAAGCCTCAGGGTGGAGGTTGCTGGCCCTGCAGGTGCTGACGCAGGCCTGGAATGAAGGCCCTTTGTGAGGTGGCCCTGGGAACTGGCAACAGGTTCCGTCCTGCCAGGAGAGGGACGACAGGAGCTGGGACCTGTGTAGGAGATGGTTCTCGCCATGCTGGGGGCTCTGCACCCCCGGGCTGGGCTCAGCCTCTTCCTCCACCTCATCCTGGCAGTGGCACTGCTTCACTCCCAGCCTCTGAGGTGACTCCTGGGGCACGGAGGGGCAGGGCACTCGGGCTGGACGGCAGAGGTGCTGCCCCTCCCCTCTCTGGAGTGGGGCTGGCTGGCCCTGGTACCCTGGGTGTTGGAGGGCTTGCCAAGTGCCCCCACACTGGGCCATCCCCTGTTCACAAGGAGGTGGCGGTGGCTTTCTGGGCCAGGGCCGAGCACCCCAACCTCTCCCACAGGTCTCAGCAGTCTGTTCCTGAGGCATTTTCCGCACCCCTGGAACTCTCGCAGCCACTCTCCGGCCTGGTGGATGGTAGTATCTCTCTCGTCCCCTTCCCCTGCCCCTCCCTGACAGTGGAGACTCCCCTAAGGGGTGCCCCAAGTCCAGCCTTCAGGGGCTTGTCATCCCAAACCACATCTGTTCAAGGGTGCCAGCTGCCCCTCCCACCCATGCCCTCCTTTCTCTCTCTAGACTATGGCATCCTCCCCAAGCACCCGTGGCCGCGAGGGCCTCGACCCCTCCTGTCCCGGGCCCAGCAGCGCAAGCGGGATGGGCCCGACCTTGCTGAGTATTACTACGACGCACACCTATGACCCAAGGCCCCCATAAAGATACTACGCGTGACAAAGGCTTGGCTTTCCTGGGCTGGGAGTGAGATGGGGACAGGAGGGGTCCATACAAATACATCCACTGCAGTCCAGACAGGAAATGGCACTTTAATAGTTGGGGCCAGGGTGACAGGACCAAGATGGGGCTGGCCTGTGTCAGTCAGGAAGCCTCCCTCCTGCTGGGACAGGGCCTTGCGGCAGCTCCTCCTCCCCACTGAGGTCCTAGGCCTGCCACAGGCCAGCATGCCGGTGAGGTCAGTGGCAGGAGCCACCCAAAGTCCCGCAAATGACGGAGCTGAGAACGGGGTCTTCACCTCCACGTGTTGCCATTTCCTCACTGGAAAGTCCTTGGGAGGTGGCTGGGCTCAGCCTGAGCTCACGGCTCTTCGGTGGGGGTTGGGGCAGGGGCAGGGTGGGCACTTGCAGGTGGCACAGGCTTCATCAAGGCAGGACACGGGCTTCATCAAGGCAGGAGCCAGAGCGCCCGAGCCCTGGCAGGGGAGGTAAGGCCCAGGATGGGGCAGGGCCGTGTGCTCCTGAAACGGACATCCCTCTCTGCCAGAGGCCTGCCCCCCAAGCCCTGCCCCTCCCAATCCCCAGGCAGCCCACTCTGCCCTCCATAGATGAATCTAATCCCATATATTACAATAAACCGCATTTGCCTCTCCCCATTGCCCCACCCTCCCCTACCCTGGGCCAGCAGCCCCCACTTCCTCATCCCCTGGTGGTAGCAGGTGCCCCTCCTCAAGCAGTGCCACATCCTGTCAGCAGCCAGCTGTCCTGGCACTGGCCTGAGGGCCGGGGGACGCAGAGGGCGGGGCCGCACGGCTACTCCAGGTAGATATCTTCTGTGGGGCAGGTGTACTCCACAAACTGCTTGTAGAACTGCTGGAATGCTCTCCTAGAAGCCAGGGGACACACAGATGGCTCAGACCGCCACTGGCAAGGGAGGAATGGGATCCCGACCCAGGGTTTTCCCACCGGAGCCTTGGGGCCTGAATGCGGCTCTGGTTCCTCTGGCCGGGGCCACTTGGCTCTGTTCTCTACAGAATTGCCATTGCATTTCCCAGTAAGATGTCAGCTGAAGACGTGGCTCAGCAGCTACCAAGCCTGGAAGCCACTCCTCAGGCTCGCCCTGCCCTGCCACCCTCCCTCCAGGCCACTGCACTGGGGTCTGGAGATGGTTCTCCAGAGCTGCGGGGGAAACCAAGGGGCAAAGCTGAGCGCCAGGAAGCAGCCCTAGGGCCTGGGGTGAGCTGTGCTCCCTCGGGCTGGGTGCTCAGCAGGATGCACACGTACCCCACGGACTCTGCCAGGGCTTTGGTGGAGTCTTCAGACACAAAGACATGGCAGGCAAACCGGTGGTCGGCGGGGTGCTTGGTGATGAACCCAAAGTACCTGCAGGGACAGGTCTGTCTGTGCTGGGACGGGCTCGGCCCACACCCAACCACCTGAAGGCTGCAGACCACCCGTGCCTCCTCCACTGCCATCCCACCCCCACTTACTTGTTGTTCTTTGGATGATATCCACAGAAAGAGATGTTTTTTAACTGGAAAAAGTGGCTACATTTATTCCCCTACAGGAGGGAGAAAAGAAGCAAGAGGGCGGTCACCTGGCCTGCAATGAGGGTGAGAGGAGACGGCCTCTTCACTCCAAGTCTTGGGGGAAAGCTGGGGGCCATGGAAGGAAGGGACTGGGTTGGGAGAAGTCACCTTGGCCTCCTGGGAGTCATCGGCCTTGACGCCTATCTTCACGCCCCGCACGCTGATCTCCAGGACGCAGCTGGAGGGTGGGTTAAAGTGCACGGTGAGCCGGCGGGTGGTGGCAATCTATAGGTGACACACGGAGCCACGTCAGCTGCTGTCTGTTCCTCTGCTGATCCCTCCTGTCCCAGGGCCTGAGCCCTGAGGCCTTTACTGCCTCTAGACACCTGTGTTCCTCTGCCCCAGGGAGCATCCAAGGGAGGAGAAGGGAGAGGGCTCAGGTACCTTTTGCATAGCGGCACAGAGGACGTCATTGCCCTTGTGATAGGGAACCTGGACTGAGCCCAGGAACTTCACCCGGAACTGGTCCACCCAGTCACTGTTTTTGGCCAGGGCTGGAAAGCAAGTGTGAATTGAGGAGGGGCAGAAACAGCAGGAGGGAGCTGAGCAGCCAAGCGAAGGAGGGCGGGTGAGGCACAGGGAATGGCAGAGCCCACACAGGCTGCACAATCCCTGGCTGCCCAGCTTGGCCGGGCCTCACTTTGCTCGATCGTGAAAAGGACCTAAAATCACCTCCACTCAGCCCCCCACCTGTCTGGCTAAGATCTGGAGTACACGTTCACCCAGCAGCAAGTCGGGGCCGACAGATGTGGTGGCTGGGGTCACAGGCCAGGCAGGGAACGCTACCTGCCATGTGCTCGGGCTCCTTGGTGACCTCGATGGCGTAATAGGCAGGAAAGACGCCCCGGGCACCGGTGCGCATGTTGTAGGCCTCGTACCAGTAGTCTTCAGCCTGGAGCTCCACTAGCAGAGGGTCATCCACTTCCAGCTCAAGTTCATCTTCGTGTCGAGGCACAAACCTGTCCCCAGCAAGGACAGGTGAGAAATTCGGCACCAGGGCCTGTCCGGCCAGGCCTCCTCTGGGGTCTGGGAGCCACAGCAGCATCGTCATTTCAGTAAACATTTGCAAAAGCATCCTGTGTGCCTGTGGCAGTGCTAACCCCAGGGGAGAGCAAGGTCAAGCAAACATGCGTCTGCCATTAAGAAACACAGGCCAAGGGAGGGTGCGGGCAGGGACCCTCTAAAATGGAGAGGCTGTGGGAAGCGCAGGCTTTTGTCTAGAGAAGGGTCAGGTGGGGTGTGGGCAGGCGTCCTCTTGGTCACCCTCCGGGGTGCCCTGCCCCCGACCAGACTAGGTGCGCAGTCCTGGGATCCCTCACCGTAGCCATCCTCTTTGTCACCGTACTCTGAGTCCCTAGAGAGTGGACACTGTCCTCCCAGGGCTGAGTGGATCAACGAATGCTGATGGCAGGGGTTAGGCTGAGGCCATGTAGGGGTGACAAATGGAGGGTGGTGTGTGGCCCAAACTGCTGCGTGGCCAGGCCCAGCCAGCCCATGGCTCTCACCTGAATATGGCCCGGTGGGTCTGCTCCTGCTCCTCCCCATTGATGATGCAGGAGAACAGCCCGAAGGACTCGGCACCTGCAGGTGAGGGGGTGTGGCTGGATGGGAGGTCGCAGCTCTGATCCAGGTTTAGCGGGGCAGGCAGAAGCCTCAGTCCTAACCAGATGGGGCCTGGGGTCGCCTCCCAGAACACTTCGCATTTTGGCTCTGTCCCACTAGGGAACCCTCACCCCCCAACTGCTTCCCCTTGCTGACTCACTGGAGGAGCGGGAGCGGCCACTCATGAAGACGTTCAGGAACTTCTTGGAGAAATGGACGTCGGGTTCGTCAGGCGTGGAATCCTCGGAGAGGCAGGCAGGGGGCTGGGGCCGGGGGGCCTCCTCATATTCCTCTCCGATGGCCGACTCATAGGGCGAGGAGACAGAGGCACAGTTGTCATAGACGGTGGCCGAGTCACTCTCATCACTGTAGTCTCCGAAGCACGGCCGCAGGCTCACCAGCTCCAGCTGTGCGTGCTCATCCACCACCAGCGTGTACTTGACCGAGTCGTAGGACAGGGCGCTGGTGTCCGAGCTCAGAGAGGCCCGTGGAGGTGGCGGCGGCTCCCCCAGGCTCCCCCGCCACCCTCCGCCTGGGGGCTCAGCCCGCTCTGGGGACGACAGGCAGTCGAAGCCCTCCTCCTCTTCACTGATGGAGGGGTGTGGCCGCCCTGCCGTGGAGGGGTAGGCAGCAGGGTCTGGATCGGAGCTGACTGACATCCGGCTCTCAGTGGGCGGCAGGAAGGCGGAGGTGGGCTCTGCAGGGTCTGGGGGCCTCTGCACTGGGGTCAGGTAGATCTCCTCAGTGGCCTCTAGTCGCACATCGGCCTGGTAGTGGATTCGGTCTCGATGCGAGTGGCCCCGACCCCCAGGCGGGGCAGCAGGGGGACCCCCCGGAGGTGCCATCTGGGTGGCTGTGCTGCGGCGGCAAGGGCTGTCGGTGGAGGTGCCCCGGTCTGTGGTGGGGGCGGGGCTGCTCTGGGGGGGCAGCTCATCGCTCAGGCAGATGTGTTCATGTGGCGGCGTCTGCTCCCCTGGAGAGCAGGCAGGTCATGAAGGCAGGGGCTCTCTCCCAACTCCCAGCTGCCTGCACCCGCCACGCTCAGCTTGGTGACACAGAAACCAAGACAAAGCCTCTCTGGGGCCAGTCAACTCACTCACGCTACCACTGATCTCAGCCCCCGGACGGGCTTGTGCAGGGATGTGGATGGACAGTTTACCTCTACTCAGCCCTTTGGAGACTGCAGGGTTTGCTCTCTGCAGTGGGGACTGAGTCAGGGCAGGCAGAGGTCCAGGTAAGGAAAAGGGCCCTGACTTACCTGTCTTCAGGGGTGAGGATGATCGAGACACCCGATCCTGCCAACTGTGCTTTTTGCCCAGAGAATTATTATTCAGTGTGTCCTGTGCGGGGAACAAAAGGCTCTTGTGATGGAAGTGGTCAACAGTGCCCGGCACAGGGAGGCCCCGGCCCTGCCCCCTCAGGCCATCCCTAGGGCCGTTTGCTGTGTTCACCCCGCCTCCACTGTCAAAGGCCTCACTCCCAACTCTCCTCTGGAGCAGGCAGGAAGGGTGGCAAGTCACAGCCAGGCTTGCTGGCTCCGGATGGCCCTCCGCCTTGCTCAGGGAAGCTGGTCAACCCTCAGGGAGATGCTCTTATCACCCTTAACAAAGGTGGTGATGGTCAATGTGTGTGGTGGCAAGAGGGGTAGGAGGTGGGGGAGAAGAGAAGCAGGAGCTCTCTGGAGACACAGTCAGATACCCAGTCCCAGACACTGAGGGTTACTTGGAAAATGCTCAAATCCAGCCCAAGTCAGAGACAGGTGTTCTCTGCTCTGGAGCTTGGGAAGTTATGGCCTAGAAGGGGTGGGAACCTTCTGGTAGAGCCTGGAAAAAGCACAAGGAAGGGTCTCCCCAGCAGCTGGCCTGGGGGACAGGGATGAATCATCCCAGTGACAAATCCATAACAGAGTTTTCCTGCACCCCGCACCACAGTGGCACGTGACTGAGGACTGACAGATGCAGTTGTCAGCAGCCCTCCTTCCTGGGTATCCCGGGCTGCCCATTCTACATTCTCAGCCCCGGGACCCCTCCCCACAATGCCCACACAGGGCTCCCTCCACTCCACGGAGGCTCCCTCCCCTGGGAGCTCTCTCCCAAGCCCTCACGTTCCTGAGCCAGGCTGCCAAAAGCCATTCACAGGATCCTGGGAAAGGGACCAAGCCTTTCCCTGCAGCCCCAGCAGCCCCACCTCCCAGGAGCTCCTTCCCTGCACTGCTCCTGATGAGCCTGGAAGACAAAGGGCCACAGCCGGCTCCCCCAACCCTATTCAACTCTCCTTGGCATCCAGCCACCCTCCCAGGGGCCCTGGGCCCCCAACTTAGCCAAGCAGCTCCATCCCCCATTCCTCTCCCCTGCCTTCTGGGAATCCCCAGCTGCCCAGATCTCAAACGGCCTGTGGCCCCTGAGCTCCCCATCCCCACCTCGCCACAATCTCCCATGGCCTCCCCGACGATGACCACTTCGGATGCCCTTTTCTCCAGGCTCTGCTCCTACCCCGCTTTCATCAGGAACCCCATACCCTAAAGGAGAAACCCTGCCACAGCCTGCGGTCCCACGCTCCAAACCCTTCGAACCCCTCAGAGCCTCATTCTCTTAATTCCCTACTCCTCTACAAACCCCAGTCCTTTCCTCCTTCAATCCCGCCTCAAGGCTCCAAGCCCGGCCAGCTGGACTTAGCCCTCTTCCTAAGGATGGTTCTGCCCGCTGCTCGGATCCCACCCCCGGGAGCAAGCCACTGCGGCCTCTATGCAGGCGCTGTCCCCAGACACTAGACCCGTGGGTGTCCCCTTCCGCTGCAGCCCCTCTGCGCTCCCCCTCACATCTCCGCGGCGGCCCAGGGCGCCGCCCCCCGCGTTGGCACCTCACCTGAGACCGCGGCACCTGCGGGAAGAGGTTGAGCGTGGTGGGCCGCTTGGGCCGGTACCTGTCTCTTATACACATCTGGGTCAGGTAGATCTCCTCAGTGGCCTCTAGTCGCACATCGGCCTGGTAGTGGATTCGGTCTCGATGCGAGTGGCCCCGACCCCCAGGCGGGGCAGCAGGGGGACCCCCCGGAGGTGCCATCTGGGTGGCTGTGCTGCGGCGGCAAGGGCTGTCGGTGGAGGTGCCCCGGTCTGTGGTGGGGGCGGGGCTGCTCTGGGGGGGCAGCTCATCGCTCAGGCAGATGTGTTCATGTGGCGGCGTCTGCTCCCCTGGAGAGCAGGCAGGTCATGAAGGCAGGGGCTCTCTCCCAACTCCCAGCTGCCTGCACCCGCCACGCTCAGCTTGGTGACACAGAAACCAAGACAAAGCCTCTCTGGGGCCAGTCAACTCACTCACGCTACCACTGATCTCAGCCCCCGGACGGGCTTGTGCAGGGATGTGG